TATCCGGAGAGTTATAGTCTGTACGATGTACTTTGTATACATAGTGTACATACGTGATGGATAAGCTTATTTCGAACTGGTTTTCGAGATTACAAGTACGCAAACAGGAGCAGCAAAAACACACGGTGACATCCGCCCCGTAGCTGCTTAATATACTACACGTTTTTACGCGTGTTGTCCTGCTCGCAATAACTCGACGAAATTAAAGTTTTTTCGCATAGTATAGACATAGTAGACAAACTATTCACGATAACTAGTAGATAGGTAATAACAGTAGTAAAGTTATTTTTACAAAATAAACGACAAATACAATGGGCGACTGGGGGAAGGGCAGATTTATTTCGTATGACGAGGTGTATTTGAAAAGGGTACTACTCCATTGGTAGCTCGACAAACGAATCATCGATCTTGATCAGTACCAACGTAAGCTAGCTCCTTTTTCTCTTGTTTTCAATTCATGTGGCAGCGTTTGATTCGCTCCTCTTTTCATCGGCATAGCGGAATTCACTGGAAATCCCATCGGCGAAAAATAACCTGCACCAGCTCATTCGCAGAAGAAAAGTGTCATCTGCCCAGGTTACATGTATACATGTATTTTAAGCTCTCTTGGCATCGGGGAGTAGATGTCCGTTTATTTTGGAGAACTTTGTCATTGCTACCGTACTCGCACTCGAGAGTTGCGATGAGTCAGACACGAGACTTACGCCACTGCGAGAGAAACGATAGTGTGGATGTGCGTTCTAAAGTGACATACGAGGCGCGCAAAAACGACCGCACGTAACGGCCGCAAGCTGTATATACTTGTATACTTACACCCTTGGCTCCCTATCGCGTGCGAGCTTCGATTACGCGTACGCGTAATTACATTGCGTTTTGACTAATGATACACTAATGACAAACATTTTAAAAACCCTAGAAGATTGTAGTTTGCGAAAAACTCCGTGGTGCCCGTACAGGAATGACATTCGAGTGGGCAGATGACACGTATACATCCAAAGGGCCGTCGCGACTAAATCCGTCCTCTCCCATAAATCTCCCCCCGGAGGTCATCGTTCGCTCGCTAAACTACTTCGGGAGGTAAAACGGATAGAGACGAGCCCTCCCCGTCCCTCCTCGGGGTGACCGCTGCGACGTACACCGGGGAGCTTGCGCGGATCGTTACATGCTCGAAGATCACGGCGTGCCAGTCTGCCTCGCTCGTGCCGAAATAACTTTGTCGCTACGTTGATTCCGCACCACCGTGTGTTAGCGACCGGATATGGCTCTCCTGTCGGCATTAATAGCCCTTGAGCTTGCGCAAGCTCATCTGCCCATCGGAGGGGTTCGAAAAATCCCGCGCTCCAGGAAGGGGCATATCATCTCGCAGCGCCATCTTTCCGAGGGGGTTGAAGAGATCGGCGGGGCTGCGTGCATTGATTTTTGCCAACAGGCGGAACAAGGGGGTCGTATAGAGGGGGGGGGATAGATATCTGCACGCGCTGCTCGACCAAACGGGGGATATCGTGCGCGCTGGCTGTGGGGCTGAGGGGGGGTTTGGCTAAACTTGCGCTGGATAAACGTCCCATCGGCAGTGCCATCAGCAACCCCGTGCCGAACGTCATGGCCGTCGTGGTTCAGGTGACGCTGAGATGCTGCTCGGCCGCGAGTTAATGTTCCTTGAAAACAGAGCGCCGTGGGCTGCAGTTGGTGGCTGATGGAGATGCTGTGCCGTCGAGTCGCGAATGACCAGAGGTATACACTCACCAAGTGGAAATTAAATTAGGCGCAGATTGTCATGGTTTTCGTTATTGTCGGGAGGAGCTTTTTTTAGGAGCCAGGAGGTGACGCACACGAAGGTTTTCTCCATCCTTGTGTTCATATATATAGAGAATTAATCCCACGCGACTCCTCGAGATTTATCAAAGTGTCATGTGCAGTTGGCAAATTTAGCGTGCAAGTATTTGCGTGTGCACGGGGGTAAGAGGGCGAATGAAAACATATCGCGGAGGTCGCCGACACCGCCGCCAATGTATACACCCACAAAAGTACTTACAGTCCCCAAAGTGTCGTAAAGCCCCAGCAACTGATGCACCTCGCTGTGGCTATGCCCACGCACTTGTCGTGACTCTGTTGATCCCTTTGCACCCTCCGCGCGTGTACTTTGCTTTTCGTCGTCCCCTTTTTGCCTACCCCCCGCCCATTCGTGTCTGGCTGCAGCACTTTTCAAACAACGCAAAGAGCAAACGTCGCGACGTATCATATGGTACGTAGGTATATGTACTTGGTATGTACTGATGCAGGACACGCGCTTTCGCGCAGTACGCCATGTATATATGTACACCTACATAAATGCACCGTGAAAGTAATTCGCGCCTGGAGTAAACGGAGAAAGAAGAAAAATAAATCAAAATACAACGACACTAGACTCGAACGTGCTCCCGTTATTCCATCGTTAATTCGATAGCTTCACAAGAGCCTCGAGGAGTGTTTTTTTTTTTTTCGAAAATGCATGCAAAGAGCGTGTGGAAGGGGGTGATCCCTCGCAGGGAGAGAGCTTCAAGATTTTTATCGCACACAGATTGAAATGCGTGTCATATAGGTGTGAGCTTGAGCGTCGAGGGCCCTATAGGGCGCTCTGGTGCCTTTATATATACGTGCACACGTTTTCGAGTGCTGAAGACGCTCTATAGTGTATGTGTGTGTACATATTGTTGAAGGGGTAGGTATATTGGTACACCGGACGAGGCGAATCTTTCCCCGGCCATTGAGCGAGCTTTTTCTTTTTTTTTTTCCTCGCTTCTACGCTTACATTGCCTCGTTTCGGTGGACAATGAGGGATGGGTTTAGAAGTTAGCGGGTGTATTCGTTGCTTTCAGAGGGGTGTGATGCATTTTTAACGCGATCGCCGGATATGGCTTTGAAGACGGTAGACGCATTGCCTCGGGGCAAAGTGATTTTTCATTAGGGTTTATTTACTGTACACCGTCATGGGACTCGGGGGGGATATTCATGAGGTTGCTAGGTGTCGCGGGGCTCGGGTGGAAATTAATTGAGACTGACACTGTAGGGTGCAAAAAAAAAAATGGAAAATGTCGGATTCTGCAAATGAGTGTATAATTTGGTTTGGTTGTTTGTGATTTTTATTGGATACCTATGGAGATTCGATAGCACGTACGTGAATGATGCAATTTGTCGAGCAAAACGACGGAATCGCGTCCAAGTGGGAAAATCATTTGTACGCGTATACGTATACATGTTTCCCGCGGGATAAAGGGCGATATCGACTTTCACTCGAGCTTCATTTGAATTTTACTCCTCGGGCGGGAGGTCGCGAGGTGTATTATTACCTTGAGACAGGCGACGGTCGTTGTGCACACGTTGGCGGGAACGTAGCGCGTGCATGTCGTCTCGTCATTTGCGTGTCTCTTCTTCTTTTTTTTTTTTTTTTTCCTGATTCACCCGAGTAGGACAGGTTTGCCCATTGCTTTTTATTTCATGCGTATATCAATTTAATATGGATTTTTCAACCACCCTCTGCATTACCTTTGGTCTTGAATTCCCATCCCTTAGATATTAAGCTATAGAATAGATTCAACAGGGTGTCCCAGAGTTGAGAGAAAACCTGTTCTTGAGGGGAAAATACTTTCGCCAGTGCTCGGAATCGATACTTGGGTAAAATGAACTCTGAAAAAAAGTTTTTATCGTTTACCTGATTGTAAATAAAATCCTCACCCCATGCGACACAGAGTGTAGAACCCTTCTTACATACTTGCTTTTTCGTTGGCAAAATGTATAAAATACAGTAATAAAACAAGCTTTTTTTTCTTTTACTAAATCTGACCATAAAACAACCTGTGGTATTGTATAACAATGTCGTAGTTACCAGAATACAGTTGTCTACGTTGATGAAAATTGTGATGAGGTATACGTATGGGAACATTGGCTTAGCGAAATCAGTAATTGCATTCAAGTTTGCAAACAGAATTTCCCCGCAGCGTGTACATAAACTTGAGATTGAGTCATTAGGAGAAGCGACAGTGCGAAGACGGTATGTGTGTGCAGCTGAAAGCAAGCACGTGATAAACCTCCCTTGCATGGATTTACTGTCTCGCTCGTTCCTCTTTATCTTTTTCCCTCGACTTCATTGTCGTCGTCGTCGGTTCCCGAGATTCCATTCACTCGGTTGTACACCCACACCCGTTGCCCTCGAGACGCACACGCCATGCATGGATGCAGATTATGTTGCGCCGTCGGAGTTTTTCACGTTTTATCTGTGAAAGCACGTCCGCTCTCTTTTTTTTTTCCCTCCTCGCCCTTCCTTTTGTATACACGAAGATAGGGTGCGTCGCGGGAGTCAGACGGTGGCTGTTGAATTGCGAGTGACGAGTGCCCGCGCGTGGATTTTCATTTTTGCCGCGAGCGCTTTTCCTCGTTTCCGAACGCGTGTCTTTGGGCTCGATTTTGTTTTAAAAACTCGGGAAAATGCCTGCACCCTTTGGGGGTGTAAATGCACCACAGAGGCTTTGCTCTGATGGATATACGTCCTAAAGCTCCCATCGGTGGGTTTCTACGAGGATTAGAAAAAAGCTCGAAATTCATTCCATTGGATTTGTTTTTTATCCTTACATCATATGGGTAACTTGACAAAAAAAAAAAAATAAATAAATAAATAAATGAATTAACACTGGTTTTTAAAGGGTAAAAAAATAGGTAATTACAAGAATTTACTAAAATCTACCGATTTCAAGTATACGTTCAAATTAACGACCAAATAGTCCTATACTGTTTACACGTATGGTATAGAGGTGTAACGATTTATTTAGAAATAAACGAAGCCGATTTTTAACCGAACAGAAAATGATTGCTTGGAACTTTGCCCTTTGAGGGTGTGATTAATTTTCCTTTTAGTTTCGACAGTAATATCATAAAAGCCATATTGATAAATAATATAACTGACACAAGAGAGAACAGCTGTTTACGAAAACAAAACTTTATTTGTTTACGTTTGTTTATGTTTACAGGTGATTCATGAATTTGGCCGAGTTTGAATAACCATAAGGTAGAAAAGATCCGATTCGCCATGGGTAAGCTACTCAGCCTTCTGGCTCGGGACGAGACGACCTGCTGTGCTCACCAAAAGTACGACGTCTTCTTGGATTTCGAGAGTAAGTCATTTTCCTTTTTTCCTATTGTTTTTTTCAAGAAAAAAAAAAATAATAAAAATAAAATAAAAGTAATTGTGCTTAATATACAAATTACATAATACCAAAATTACAGACGCAGAGCCTTCGGACAACGAGCGCGAGACGTTCGAGGCCGTGCAGAGGGTCCTCAAGAACTCGGAGCCGATCCTGCAGGAGATCCAGTGCTACAAGGGCGCCGGCAAGGAGATCCGGGAGGCCATCTCCGCGCCAACGGAGGAGTGCCAGCGCAAGGCTTACCTCACCGTCGCCCCGCTCGTCGCCAAGCTCAAGCGCTTCTACGAGTTTTCCCTGGAACTTGGTACGCAACTGCACACCACCACATAAATACACTAGCATGCAAAAACAAACCAAAACATTACCACTTATTGCTTTCAGAGCAAATCGTCCCAAAGATACTCGGTCAGCTGTGCTCGGGCAACCAGTCGCCGACGCAGCACCTCGAGACCCAGCAAGCCCTAGTCAAGCAATTGGCTGAGATCCTCGAGTTCGTCCTCAAGTTCGACGAATCCAAGATGAAGACACCCGCCATCCAGAACGATTTCAGCTATTACCGGCGCACCCTTACGAGGGCCTCCCTCGCGCGCCAGGACTGCGCTACCGAGCGAGACCTCGTGGTCGGAAACGAGCTCGCCAACCGCATGTCGCTCTTCTACGCGCACGCTACCCCCATGCTGCGCGTCCTCAGCAACGCAACCATTGCTTTTCTCATGGGGGTTGGTGACTTTTTTTTTTCTTTTTTTCTAATTCTTCCTTGTGCCATTTTTTGGAGTTGTAATTTGTCACTTCGTTGTTTGCAGAACGAGGACATACCGAGGGAAAACATAACCGAGACTCTGGGCACGATGGCAAAAGTCTGCCTGAGAATGCTGGAAAATCCGTAAGCGAACTCTTTATTTCCCCCCTCCCCCCCTCTCTATAGAGTGGACTTTCAAAGTGGGAGTGTAAGTAAATAATAACGGGCATGGGGTGTGCTGATTGCAGGAACCTGCTGGCTCAGTTCCAGCGCGAGGAGACGCAACTGTTCGTGCTGAGGGTGATGGTCGGCCTGGTCATTCTTTACGACCACGTGCACCCGCAGGGCGCCTTTGTCAAGAGCTCCAATGTCGATGTACGTATCATGTGTGCACGCACAATGGCCCGGTAATCCGCTTGGCTTCCTTTCCCCCTTTTCCTTTTTTTTTTTTTTTTTTTTTGCTTCTCTTTGTATATACTTACATACCCTGACGCGGCGCTGACGTGTGAAATTTGTATGGTTGCTAATGAGCGTTGCCTGAGCTTACGTTGGAGTACGATAATTTAATTTTCGCAACCCCCGTAGGCTGGGAATTTAATGGGTATCTGTCTGTACTCGCTGTAAAGTGTATGTGCTTCTGTTATTTTGTCAATATTTTATAGGTAAAGGGCTGCGTGAAGCTGCTCAGAGATCAGCCGCCTTGCAAGAGCGAGGGTCTGTTGAACGCCTTGCGTTACACCACGAAACACCTCAACGAGGAGAACACCCCCAAGAACATCAAGAACCTGCTGGCCGCATGATTGCCGAAGCCTCGAGGCTGCTGCATTCGGACTTGAGATGTGGGTTTTTTTCCCCTTCTTTTGTTCGTACACAAAAGCTGGCCGTGAATTACTATTGTTGATGATTTTATTGTGTTTTTTTTTAAATTTTTTTTAGTCCTTGCGCGTCGTGACAGCTTTTTTTTGTGTTTGACGGTGAAATGTGTTTTTAAACGGATAGATTTGTGAGTAGATAAAAAAAAAACAGACTCGCCGAGTGTGTCTCCTTTTTTTTTTTTTTTTTTCTTTTTTTCGCGTGCTCGGTGACTGAGTTTGGTTCTTGAGAACAAAAAATTTGTTGTACTGCCAATAGAGCGGGAAAAGGATTCTTTTTTTATTTTGGAGATGAAGGCAGCAACGTCGGAGAAGTTCATACAAAAAAGGACTTGGCGGACTTTACTATATATACAAGACTATCCGAGGAATTGGAGCACACGTGCGCACTTTTCTCTACCATGTGTGTGTATAGTATGCGGTATGAGTGTGTACAAGTGTGTAGGTTGCGCAGGGGAACATCGAGGACGCGCGACGCGCGCCTCGCCTCCCTCGAATCGAGGAGGATATTATAAGTATCTTCGTAGCTACGTAATTTTATTGTCATTATTATTATTACTGCATTATTATTATCATCGATAACATGACATTGAGTGAAAGAAAAACCAGACGAGACTCCTTTCTACTATTTATAAAAAGCGTTTGCTAGGTAGAACCGTAGCTATATTTACGTATATCGTGTAGCATTAGTTACCCTCGTTGCCTCGAATACGCAAATTTTTAGTTTTGTTATACTTTTTTTTTTACTTTCATCGAGAAATTGTAAATTGTAATCGAAGATAAAATTAATCTGTACCTTAAGGTATTAATAATTTGGACTCGCGAGAGATATTTGGTCAATAATAAGGGTCAATCATTTGCGATCCCTAAAACCGGGAGATGCAAGCAGTAATAAAATAAAACGATGAAAGTAGTTTTGTGGATGAATTACAAACTATTCTGTAATCATTAATTGAAAGTGCATTTACACCAAATTCCGATAATATGTATCCTATACGTCTGTTTTTAAGGCATTTAAAAAAAAATTTTTATACCCAATTTTTTTATAAACATTACCGATGTAAGAGTCGCGTTAAAATTATTTAAGTCTTCCTGTTGATGGTTTAAAATAATCAGTGAGATTCGATTGATTTTTCCCTTTAAAAAAAGGCTTGATCCACCAGTAAAATTATATTATACGCAAATACAGGAGATACATGTATGAGTTTATTTTTAATACTTTCGAGCATTAGTTAGTAAGTGATTTGATGAGTATTGTGGTTAGATGTAACTATAAAAAAAAGCACAGCACGTTGAATAAGCACAACATTATTAGTTTGTATTATTTATATGAATTTTGCGAGTAAACGATTTGAAAAAAAACAATCGAAGATTTTGTACTGCAGAGAAAAGATTTTCAAATCTAATTTTGATGCACTTTGCAGAACCTTTAATTATACTTTGTTTTTCCCTGTTACTTAGCTGAATAAGTCTATATTTGTAATTATATACACCTTGTAGTTCGAAATTGTGTAGTCAAAGTCATTGAATTCACGTCTCAGACGATGTATAATGATTACATTTTTTTCTTATTAAATAACCTACGCTTTTGCAATAAAAGTAATATTCACTGAAATGTGTGAATGCAAACGTAAACATTGTGAGTTAAATAAGAAGAAAAATAAATGGAGCAAAGAATAAATGTGGTTTGAAATATAAACTGCCGAAAATGAATGTAAGGGAAACGAAGATCAACTGTGGACGGCAAGCGATTAGTCATAAAAGTATTGCAGAGAACCAAAGACATAAAAAAGAAAAAGAAAGAAAATATTGATACACCTATTCCTGTAAATTTTGTAGAATCGTGCAAAAAGTTAAGATTTAATAAAAATAAAATAATTAAGTAAGACAAATGTATAACTGTATTTTATTGCCAACGCTATGTTGATTGATAATCACGAGATAAATGATTTTGCTATAAATAATGAGATACAAACACAACATGATGATAGAGTGAGACAGAAGTTTGTAATAAAACAAAGTTGAGAGTATAAAATAATGGAAAGGTTATTTTCTTGTGATGGTTAGAGAACTTTTCTCAATTTTAATAACGATACTCAAAGTGTTCAATAAAATGGGAACTATGAAAACCAAATCTTATATGGAGAGTATTAGAAAAAATTTTTTGTGAAATTTCTTAATAAAATAAGATTTTGTAGATTAAAAAAAAAAAGAAACAGTAAATCGCACATACCCAAGATGTGGCAAATTGAATTGAAAAACCAATCATTTTACGTAACAACTTCTTCGAGTTTTTAAAATAAATATCTTTTACAACCCTTTACACCTTTTTACGTGTGTTTAAAAAAAGTATTATAGAAAGTATGGAGCACACGTTTTAAAGTTGAAGTAAGTTTTTTGCAGCACTTTAAGTGTATCCTTAAGAAAAAACATACAAAACAAAACAAGTATCCTATAATAGTATCTTTGATCGTTTTTATGTGCACACACGAGCACAAAAATTGTCTCCAGTTATGCCTGTTTCAATTTGGTACAAAATATACCTTACCTGCGTGGCAAACGATGTTATTTTCGAGGGTGGCGCGCTGCCGAGTAAATAATAATAACGATGATGATGATAAAATAAAACAGAAAATCTATACATACATAATCGCCTTTTCGAATCTTTGGATTCGCAACTGATATAAAAAATATGTATGTAATGAGTGGTACGTAACAATATTATATGAGGTTGAGGTATATGGGATGATGAGAGTTAAAAGTAAAAAGGTCCACGCTCGTGTAAATTTAAAAAGAAAAATTGTGTAAAGATGTATTAGAATGAAGTCTGAAATGTAAAGCTTGAAAAATATACACATTAATTTAACAATTTAAAAAAGTATCATGACTCGTTATTTTTATCCATTCTCCTCGAAATCAAACTTTGTTTGTACTTCTAGTTTTAAAAAATGAATCAAATTAACTAGAGCTTTTTTCTTCAATGTGTCAATGACGTTAATGTTAATGCAGAAGTATTTATTTAATGATAAGTTAACTGTTTATTGGAACTATAAGGTTAAAGGGCTGTGCTTCCATCATTAAATAGTAAAAGGTCTAAAGTATTGTAATTTTGTAAATATGGTCGATTTTATGAGCCATATAAAATAAGTAGAATATTTATACTTTTGGAGGTCGATTTTCGGGTAAAAAATATAATGTAAACTTGACGCAAATAGCACAAAACATGTTGACTTTTTATTTTGTATCTATAACATTAGTTGCGGCTGGTTTATAATTGACTAAATAGCACTACTACAAGTATTAATAATTATTTGGATCAGCGCCATCTAGCGGTCTTTATTTTTTGGCCAAAAGTGGCTCCCAAAATTCTGAATCAGAGCAATCAGGATTAGAGCCATTTAGTCAATTATAAACCAGCCGCAACTCATGATGAAGCTACAAAATAAAAAAATAACGATACATGTGTTTTTGGCGGCAAGTTAACAATTTATTTTCTACCAAAAATTGACCTCCTATGTATTTACACTTTTAAAGATACATTTTTGAGCATAAGATAAATTTTTAACTTGCCGCCAAAAACACATGTATCGTTATTTTTTCATTTTATAGCTTTATCATGAGTTACGGCTGGTTTATAATTGACTAAAAGGCTCTAATCCTGATTGCTCTGATTCAGAATTTTGGGAGCTACTTTTGGCCAAAAAATAAAGACCGCTAGATGGCGCTGATCCAAATAATTATTGCTATTTACAGTAGTCACTTTATTAGTTATAAACCAGCCGCAAATAATCTTCTAATAAATAAACGATAAGTAGTTGACATTTTCAGTGTTTTTGGGGTAAAACTCCCTCAAGATATCTTTCTGATGGACATTAGAAGTTTACAAGACTTACACAAAAAATCTTGAGAAAATGTGTTTGCTGGGGATCTTTAGCTGATAAGTAGGGAACTAGTAGGGAATCGTGGGCTGAATCGCTGAGAAGTGTGCAACACATTAATGTATTCCAGATGTTGATCAACTCGAGTAATTTCTGTATAGGTATCTAACAAATATTAGCTAACAAGTGTAAGTACGTAGTAATTAGTAATACAGGAAATCAGTATAGTAAAGTGACTATTAAGTCATGAAAATGACAAACGTGTTTCATGTATTTATAGTTTAGTCATGCATCTGACGTAAGCAAGTGTTGTACAGAGCAACCCAAAAGAAAGCTAGTGAGTGTTTCGTGTTGCTTATCACCTAATCAGTACTATAGAGGCCGGAGTGACAGCACATGTAACCCAAGGTTGTGGATAAATGACGACGGCAGTATAATGATGAATCCCAGAGATCAACCGTTTGTGAATTATCAGGATTTCTCAAATCCTAGCACTGGAGCCTCGGTCCACGTCGACCTGGGCACTCCAAACCAGCAGCAGCTCTTTGGAGGCCTCCAGAATGATCCTACGGGAGCCGGAATGATGCAGGACCTTCAAGGCTTTCCTGGACACAAAGATCGTAAGTATTGTTGACCAACTCTGATTATCAGCTGGTGGATCCAAAATTTGTTACTATTGTGTTGTTGTGGCATGGATGAGATTTTTGTTTTGGTTTTTGCGTCTCTTGCTTTGTTACGTGTCCAGGTTACGTTGTCATCGAGTAATCTTGTGCAATATGTAAATGTTTGCAATTGTTGTATTTCAGCCAATGCACAAAGAAGCTTCTGGACTATTGAGTATTACCAAAAGTATTTCAATGTTAACACAAGCGACGTTGTCGAGAGGTTAAAGAAGTCTATGTTACCTCATCTAGTGGACAATTTTTTATTGGCTCACATAAGACCAAACCCGGACTTGTACGGGCCATTTTGGGTCTGTGTCACTCTAATATTTACCATAGCAATCAGTGGAAACATAGCCAATTATTTTCAATACGCCAATGTCAAAAATGGTATTTACCACTGGAAATACGACTTTCACATTGTGTCTCAAGCTGCTACTTGTATATTTATGTATGCGTGGTTCTTACCTCTTGTATTATGGGGTTGTCTCATCTGGTCTAAAAATCAAGAACAGCAAACTAATCAGGACAATGAGTTGATTGAGGTAAATATGAATTCACAGATAATCAATAGTACAGTTTATTGCAGTACATGATCTCTTACAAATGTTATTGTTATTTACAGTCCAATAACAGCATTGGTCTTTTGGAGCTAATATGCCTGTATGGTTATTCCCTCACGATTTTCATCCCTGTTGCAATTTTGTGTACAATACAATTCAAATCATTGCAATGGTCACTTGCATTGATTGCTACAATCATGTCGGGTGGTGTTTTACTCAAATCTCTTATGCCAATTATTCCAGGTACTGTGCAATTTTAAACTAATTTAAAGGATTCCTCTAAGCTGTCATTTTTACGAATTTCTGATTTTAGGAAAACACAAACCTCTGTATGCTGCCTTTATATTGGGATTGCACTTTATACTTGCTGCAGGATTTATTCTATACTTTTTCCATACTCCATCACTTGTCTCTCACCCTGGTGTACCCAGCCCAACTACAACTTCAACTACAACTACAACTACTACTACAACTCCCAAGGCAGCATAAACTATTTCATTGATCTGATAGCAGACAAAGTGTGATTGGTTTGTAGAAATGAGGTCTTCTTTTCTTTGTAAAGTGTGGTACTATTGTTATTGCTTGTAGTTTTTCATGCATAAAAGTGATCGTGAAGTAATAAATTCGTATTTTTTTGTAAGAGGAATAAATTTTTTAATGTTTCAAAAATGGAGTATTAATATGAAGTTTTTTTCATTTATCTGTATTATAATGTAATAAGTAGTCGATGGAAGTTGAATCAATTTTTAATAATATTTTTGTTATTTTTGTTGTTTAAATGTACATAATATGCGATGTATATCTGGATCTTGGAAGGAGATTCTACTTTCAGTGTTTGTACACGCATGCCTCTGAATGCTTTAAAGATGATTTGCGTTTGATGGTAATAAGTGTAATATCAACAAAAATCTAAAGCTGTGTTATTGCTTTTCAATCGACACTCGACTGATTTCATTTATACTTATATTTAATAAAACGTATATTATAAAAAAACTCTTGCATCAATTTTTCCACTCGTCCAATTCAACCTGCTTTTGTAAATATAAATCAAGTCACCTCCTACAGACCGAAACCTCCAAGTGTGAACTCAAATTAAAACTTTGCCATCAACAGCAACTTAACGTATAGTAGCTCGGATTTCTCAAAATTTTGACCCATTCGAGATATTATTTAGGCCAGCATTAGATTCAGTAGACTTTATCTACAAGAAATGATACATCTCTGTTTGGGGACTTACGTGAAAGAGCCCCCTTAACCAAAGAAGGTTGAATTCTTTGTTTATTTCTAACATTTAAAATTTACTTCTCAGTAGTAAATGTATTTTTTATTTAGTGAAATCCAATGCTCCATTCTTAGGAGACTCTTCGTGTAACTGTGCTTTTTTTAGGCCTTTTTTTTCAATCGTCTGTTTTAGGCTGAAAAATTTACGTACTTACAAGTTAACTGTTTATTGGAACTATAAAGTTAAAGGGCTGTGCTTCTATGAGTTAATGGTAAATAGCCTAAAGTATTGTGTTTTTGTAAATATAGTCGATTTTATAAGCCATATAAGATAAGTTGAATATTTATACTTTTGGAGGTCAATTTTCGGGTAAAAAATATTTATTGTAAACTTGCCGCAAGTAGCATAAAAAATGTCAACTATTTATCGTCTATTTTCTAAGATTATTTGCGGCTGGTTTATAACTAATAAAGTGACTTTACTGAAAATAGCAATAATTATTTGGATCAGCGCCATCTAGCGGTCTTTATTTTTTGGCCAAAAGTGGCTCCCAAAATTCTGAATCAGAGCAATCAGGATTAGAGCCACTTAATCAATTATAAACCAGCCGCAACTCATGACAAAGCTATAAAATAAAAAAATATCAATACATGTGTTTTTGGCGGCAAGTTATCAATCTATTTTCTACCAAAAATTGACCTCCTATGTATTTAAACTTTTAAAGATAAATTTTCGAGCACAAGATAAATTGTTGCTTTGCCGCCAAAAACACATTTATTGTTATTTTTTGTATTTTATAGCTTTATTATAAGTTGCGGCTGGTTTATAACTGGTTAAATGGCTCTAATCTTGATTGCTCTGATTGAGAATTTTAGAGGCCACTTTTCACCAAAAAATGAAGACCGTTAGATGGCGCTGATCCAAATAATTATTAGTACTTGTAGTAGTGCCATTTAGTCAATTATGAACCTGCCGCAACTAATGTTATAGATACAAAATAAAAAGTTGGCATGTTTTGTGCTATTTACGGCAAGTTTACAATATATTTTTTACCCGAAAATCGACCTCCAAAAGTATAAATATTCTACTTATATGGTTTAATAAAATCCAACAACCTGCTTGTGTAAATATAAATCAAGTCACCTCCTACAGACTGAAACCTCCATGTATGGACTCAAATTAAAACTTAGCCATCATCAGCAGCTTAACGTATAGTAGTTCCCGTCGTCGTCTCCTCTACGGCACGGCCCCGGCGCGTAAATATCATTATTTCTCCGTTAATTAGGATGTTTATCCGGTAATTTTCCCAGGCTCTTTGCGACTAATTTAATTTGATCTCCGGCAGTTGGCATTGGAGCTGACGCGACCGCCTGTCCGCCCCGAGAGACGTACCTACGGGGAATTTTCTTCCGGCTGGTGTTTTAGCTGCTCTTGGTGACTCTCCTGCGGAGAAATGCTGGGAGTCTCCTATATCCGATGTCTTTCTCAATTTTCTCTCTGCCGCTTTAAAGCAATTATTTTCAACTCCTTTTTTTTTTTTTTTTTTTTTTTTTTTTTTTTTGACCCACTCACCATTAACAACGGGCAAGCACGCCGTGGCCGAGTGCAAGACGGTATTTCCAGAAGAATTTTGACGCTAGTTATTATCTTTATTTCTCTTCTTTTCCACCCAAAGTATCAAGTGGAGGACATGGATGTGATTAAAAACGAATGATAAATTAAATTTTGTTTTTTGTGACAATTTTATATAGTAATTCCGCCTATGGTAAAAACTGTATTGTTTTCATCTTTATTTTCTACTTTTAAATTGACCAAATGACTGACTTTCAGACGCCAGAAATAAAATATTATACTGCGGGTATGGTGCTGTAAATGATTCATTTGGATTCATTTTAATTAATGTCCTACAATGTGACGTACTTTTCGAAAAAAAAAAAAAACTTTCGGAATGTAAACGTGTAATATTTATTATTTTCGTTTGGTTACCTCTAGTTTGCATTAAAAATTTTCATCAGATCCATCATTTTAATATTTAATGCTACGGTCAAATAAAAGAAAAAAATAAAAAAAATTTTTTGTTTATTTAAAATGATTTATACACCAATGTGAAGGTATTTTTTCTAGTTCTACCAGACTTGTCTTTTGGTAAATTTTTACATTTGGTGTATATTTTTGTGCCATAACTATTCTTCCCATACATATTTTTTTTTTTTTTAAGGCAAAATAAAAATGACGATCCACTATAAATAAAAAGAAGCTCACATGGAATTATAGTGTTTAAAAAATGACATCAGTCATCAAAACTGTAGTATTTCTGTGCGCGTTTTGTCTCGCGCTCGTCGAAACGTCAATGGAATCGACATCTGTGAAAAAGCTGCAGCAGCGCAGACACACACCCACTCACATGTACAAGATCAGGAGTAGGGATAAATCGAACCGATATTACGACAATTGATCCTATGAACACAGGATGTCATTTTACTTGTCACGTTATACCAAACTTACTAGATTTCAGAAAAGCATCGTAAAACATGCGTCCGTAGAGAAAACTACACGCGCATCCTCCACTTTTTATTTTATTCCCAGTGCAGACGGGAGCTAAAAATTAACAGTCGCTCCTCCCCTGCGGGTATATATGTAACCGTACAGACAGCACGTCCGCACACAACGTGAATAATCAACTAGTTTCACTTGCAGCATATAAATGTACTTTTTTTTTTTTTTTTTCGTTTCGCTCTCGATTTTAGCGCAGCTTGTCCATGCCGTTTTCAATTTCCGTACTGATTCATCGGAGAAACTTTGTTACTAACGTTTCGATGATTGTTTTTGCCAAACTGAACAAAAACAGACGTATAAAAATGAGTTTGCAGGCAAATCCGTGAAAAGAGAGCGAATTGAAAAAAAAAAAAAAAAAATGAATTCATCGATCGACAAAGCCATCCCGAGATCGGATTTACAACTAGAGACAGAAGCTTAATTGACCAACTCCGTAGAGCGCGCTTTGGCGCGGAGCCGTCCGCTCGAGGGCAAATTGTTTTATTTTCAACGTCACGTCATATTCTTGAAAGCCAAAAATCATTGGATGAATTTGGAAGGTATACACTCGCGCGGATCATCGCTCAATAGCGCATGAAAGTAACAGTGCACGCCCGAGTGTTTCAAAATATTTTGGCACGTCGATTCATATTTTTTTTTCCTCCCCTCGGGTGCAAAAACACCCTACACCCACGCGTTATGTGTAGACATTACCACCTGTACACTCGTAAGTAGCGTCACGACGTATATATGTACAAGGATGGAGAAAAAGTTTACTCCGTTTCGGAGGTATCGGCTGTATCGGTATATCGTAGCGGCGAGACACACACGTCGACGGATCCTCTCTGTATATAATATCTACCCTCACACACAGCCGTCACCTGAGCGCGCCTCTCCTGGCCGCTTTGCAAGGGGGAGGGGGGTATGGAAGCTCAACCGAACCAAACGAGTCCAGGGGGGTAGCGAGCGAGCTGGGCTGGCACTCGGCGCGCAGACGACGAGCGCCCGACCTCGCGGACTCATCTCGGAGCCTCTCTATAGGGCCCGCGTCTCGGTGTAGCACCAACCGCCGTATCTTTCTTTTTTCTTTTTTTTTTTCTTTTTTTTTTTTTTTCCACCCCTCGTTCTTTATACGGGACCAGAAAAATCGGCACCCCGTGTCTTCGATCTTTATTCTTGTCGTCCCCTGCAAGTGCAATTTTGTCAATCGTGGTGGCTTCTCGACACGGAATACTCCCAAGTCTTTGGCGATACACCCGCTCCGTAAGTAAATATATATATCTTTGCATGAAATGCGTCGATCCGCCATACCGATCTTTTTTTTTCTCCCCAACTAACTTTTGTGCAGAGCTGAAGGGACGAAAAACCGCATCACGCGTGGCCGACCGATATACGAGAGAGCCGATACATACCGCGCATGGTTGGCCACGCGCTCGCCGAGCGTCAGCGATCGATCGAATTTTTAGTGCGCCTCTCCTTGGATTGTCCCCCACCGGCGTAGCAATGATCGTTATGCGGAGCCTCGTGGTGAGCCTACTGGGCATAACGGCGTGGCTGAGCTCGGCTGCGGATGCCGGTAGCTGCGCCGAGTCCAAGCTCTGCTGTCCCGGCCGCGACTCGGCCTGCGTCGTTCAGAAGACCTCGCCGAACGCCATCGTCCAGAGCCTCGGCGACAAGCCCTGCTACTGCGACCACGCGTGCCTCAAACTCGGCGACTGCTGCTCGGACTTCAAGGAGGCCTGTGGCGGTGAGTGTTTATATTTATACATGGTTTCGCTTCATCGGAGGTAAACCTCAGGCCTGCGAGTTGACACGGTTGCAACGCAGGTACGTAACGTACCGATCAAGCGTTGAAAATCTTCTTCCCCGCTGACGATCCATCCGTGCGTATATAGGAAAAAAGGTACTCTTGACTTGCTCTCGCTCCACAGCCCAGTTATTACCGATTATTACACCTGTCGGTCCTTTTTTTTAATCCCCCTCCTCTCGCATATGATTACAGACCGCTATTTATTAAGTGCAGGAGTCACGGGTCGGTCTATCGGAGGCGCAAAGTGTGCACTCAGGCGCAATATAATTAAGCGCGTGAGAACCTCCTTCCCGCTTTTTTTTTTTTTTTTTTTTTCTGCAGCGCGCTGCTTCGCAAAGTGTATAAAGAAGGTCGTTCACTTTGCTGGCTTATAAAAGAAACGTTTTTTCTTTTTTTTTAATAGGGGTTACGGTGTACCGTATCGAGTTGGCGATTTTTTGCGCTCGTGGCTTCCGATTTTCATCTCTTCATTTTTAGATGGATACGTGTTGTATACGGCGAGTTGGTGGGAAATATGGAAAACTCTCGTCCCACAAAGCAGGCGATGAAAAAGGGTCCGAAAACCCGGTGGTCCCTCTGTCGCGGTCCCTCTGTTGTTGCAGGTAGCGTCATGCGGTGCAATCAGCACCGGAATCCATTACTCATTGTCCGGCGGTGGAAATGAAAAAATCCCTCGAAAAATCCAGCCCCGGCGCTTAAAGTCTCCCGAAAGAGAAACCGTGCGTATCTATACGTGTATGAGGTGGAAAATGCTTTTCGTGGTGTACGGGCGGAGGTGAAAAACGGGAGCTCTGAATAAACTCGGCGCGGACAATCGATAATCCGCCTCGGCGGAGATACCGTACGTTGTGGGTACGTGTAGTTGGGCATACGTGCGAGTGAAAAGACCATCGGTACGGGGGAATAATGAAAAAAAAACAAAAAAAAAAAAAAAAAAAAACAAAAGGATTGACCCGATGAACTCACCCTCGTATGTACCTCATCCCATACACACTACTGTATGGGTATGCAATTGAAAGCCCACTCGTGCACTGGATATTTTTTTTCTCCAGCTCTCTTTCTTTTAATTTATATTTCATACTCTTTTTCCTTTCTTTATAATTTTCAAGTCTTCTCGAGTGAAGTAACCGTTACGCGCAGACCATCATTTTCTTTACTTTTTTGAAGTTAACTTGAAGGTTCATAACAAGCCACCTCCGTTGCAATAGACGGCTCAAGTTGTTTTTTTTTTCTTTTTCAGTATTCACGGGTAAAAGCACTGTAATTAATTTTTACCGTCAAACTGTAACGGTGAGGTCCTTACACTTTCCACCGATTACCGTAATTATATTAATAATTTTTCCCTTTTTTCAGAGTATTTAAAAAAAATAACTACAGTTAATTACTCAACGTGTATTCGCTTTAGTTCATAGTTTAAACTTCCACGCGATGTTGTGCTATCACACATCTATATATGCACAGTCGCTGCGTCAGGATTGTGCTCAGTCGGAAATTTTGCCTCCAGGGAGAACTAAGTACATGTATTCCGCTCGCGTAAGTAGTTTGTCTCGTGTCTTCCAGTTTACGTATACGTGCCGTATATAACAGAGGCAAGAGAGAGAGAGAGAGAGAGATACTGTGCGTAAGCTTATTTTGTGCCTACGTACACACACAAGCTGCTGCGAGCAACATTATTATCTCATACCAATGTAAATAGTAAGGGAAACTTCTTACCTTGTTATCGATGTAGTAAGCGTAAAATTTACAGTGCCGCCTAATGTAACATAATCGATCGAGTTTGGTAAATTTGCTGTTTCGAAATATCAAGTAAGTATTTCCCCGGAGCAGATGCAAGAGATGATGAAGTATTGGGAAAAGTACAAGTGGGTATCAGCACTGGTTATACAAAGTTTGAAAATTTTCACTCCACGTGTACAGCATAGTAGCAATGATAATAATAATAATTACTCGTCAAGTAGTTGGTATAGAAGAGACGATGATCAGTTGAGGGACGTCAAGAGTTGGTTGGAAATTACCAAAGTTCCTCGCGCTAATCCTCGAATCTACACTGGCTCGGGTGCAAAAGTAATCGGCCGTGATTTCGCGCAAAAGAGTTTGAAAACTATTCCGAGTCGCTTGAATCCGGGCACCCATCAATTAAGTATGTACACCTTTTTGCCATTTTTTTTTTCCCCTTTTCTGTTGGCCTTTTCTTCGTCTCGCGCCATTACGGGGCTTAATGCAAACTTCGTGTCTCGCTTGAGGTGGAATTAAGATGGATTGATGGTGCCGGGGAAAAAAAAGGAGATTGTCGGACTGCATAAATCATCTTTCGTTGTGCCATTGAATATACATACGTGCACCCGATAGTCTCGAACAATAAAATTGCTGCTCTTCTCGATCCCACGAGTTGTATTTGCAAAAATATGAAACATTAAAATGAACTGAGGAATGAAAAATTTCAACAGTACTGATAACGAAACAAAGCAGTAAAAATCAAGTCACTTGTTATGAAGAAAAAAAAAAAAAAATACTTCACCCTAGTTAGATCATGCTCATCCCCGTTTTGTTTTCTCTTCGGCGTCATTTCCATTTATAATCGAGCACTTGTTCAGCCTCCGGTTCGAAAAAAACCAGCATATTCAAGCACAAGTAGGTATCATCGAATTATAGTTTAAACAAGTAAAGTATAAAATTTCGGATGGAAAGAAATTTAAGGCACACGCGAAAAAAGCCCGGACCAAAAAAAGGGTGGATCGGCCGAATCAAGAGCGGGAAAAAGACGTCCCATAAAAGTGCACGGACAGTGTCACGTACGCAAGAAAGAGGCCTTGATTGGCTGGCGGCACGTGTTCCCTAATGAGCAGACACACCGCACGGTTGTGAAATATCACGTGGCGAGAAAAATAAAATATCGAGGCCATACGATTACCATGCACCATTGTTCTCTATCGTACAGCTCAGGGGGTTTCAAGTCGAATGTTTTTGTCGAACCGAGAGTGCACACGTGTAACTGATGGATAACGACTTTTCAGCTCCACGGATGATGGATGGAGCTTAAAAAGAACGCAGGGTGACTAATTTTCCCGCAGGTGTGAGAATAATCGTCGCGAAAATGGGGTTGTAATCACCGGTGGGAGAACTGGCGATGCGGACGACCTCATTTGCTTGAATACATATTTTTTTTTTTTTTCATTCCACCAGAGTCGGCTGATTAATGGTATCACCTGTTGTGCTTTTGTTTTCGCCGCGGTAATAAAACCTGATGATGATGATGATGATAAAGTGAAACGCGTTGGAGCGCTTTATTTGCGAAACGTGGGTATAAACGCGTGTAATCAAAATTTCATGAAAAGACCAGAAAACTGGATTTAAATGATCAAACACGTTGGTACACAGGCTTGGACGATCAAACAAATTAAGCGGAAACACAACTGTATCGCTTACGTGCACTCCAACCCGCGTGAAACACATGGAAGCGAGATAAAGAGCGAGTGAGAGGGAACCAGTGCGGTTGCGTTGGACACGGGCACGCGCTCTTTTATTCCGTTGCTCCTGAAGTTCCACTGTGCAGAATAAGTACAGAGGCGCACAGAGAATCTCTGTAAACGAAATAACAATAAAACGGGAGGGACCCGAGAACGGTCCACTTGTCGTGTTTCTACATCTCCCCCCTATAGGTACGCGCTTTGGAGCCTGAGTGTCGTATGCGTGTTTGTATTCTCTTTCATCTATTTTTTTTTTTACATTTTCACAGGTGCTTGAGGTCCACACGTTTTTCCCTTTTATTGAAAACAAATCTGTCGCAAAGGCAAACTCGGAGCGATATTCTTTCGCGATCCATTCCATCATCCTTGTACTCATACTCGCATGGCAGCAATGATGGACGCGCGAGAAAAAATGATCAAAGCTTTTATTACCAAGACAACAATAGCTTTTCCCAAGTGGGGTATAAATTTCACAGCGAGAACGCGGGGTTTAAGACATAAGCTGTCGTCTCCGTCTCGCGTTACGGAAGCGCGAGTATTACCTACGTCACTACATGTGCGTATAATTCTACGCTGGAGGTTAAAGCTAACTATTATAAAATATGCATAGGAGATCGTACAGATACCACCGCATCAGGTTCCGTGTCGTCCCTATTAACCACTTGGGACATTTACAAATCGACAGATACCGAGAACTTGAAGATTAAAATATTTTAAAAAATTTTTTCCTAATCACGATGGCTGCATGACGAAGCTTGAAAAAAAAAATTACTCTTTGTCAATACTACATAAATATTTGGTCTGGCACGAAAATTTTGGGACAGAGTAACCCAGTTTGCAAATGACAAAGTGTTGATGAAAATGGCACGGGTTATGATACGGGCAGCCTCTATTGGACCGTGTATAGCGTCAGTCTCCGGCCCATTGTGGCACTGCAGGTTTATCCATATGAGACACGTATGAAGATGTCGCGAGAGATGAGAAAACTCGGAATATTCATTATACCCTTCTTCTTCTTCTTCTCCCTTTTCCCTATTCCTCGTAAAACTGCAGCCCGAGAGTCTGTCGCGTATAAAATGGCCAAGTGCGCGCTAGAGAGCAACGCGTGGGTGCCATGAATCAAAAAACTCGCAGTGCCTTCCGTGCGGGTAGTCACGCCACCCACCGTACTTTTCTTCGTCTTTTATGTATTTTTGTGCAGGCGCGTGCGAATTTCCATCCCTGGCGGAGTGCATTATATGCGCGCGCGCGCACGTACGTTGTACGCGGTGCTCGTAAGGAAGCTCAGTTTTTTCTCCCTCAAATCCTCCTCGGATCTTTTGCTTCCTTTCATTTTTTTTTTTTACTTCACGAGACTCCTCGCGCTCCCTCCTCTCCCTTTTTGTTTCCCCCCGATGTTCTCGCCAAATGAGACGTAATTGGAAAATTGTACGATTAAATCGTAGGAGCGCAATTGGAAAAGAATCCTTA